AGCCGAGAGTTTATAGTTACAGACTTTACGTACAGTGCCGCAAAGAAATCGCGTTGATTCATCGATAGCCTGTATCAACTTCAGGTAAAAGTCCACTATGATACCACTACATCACAAGGCCAAGACCACTTTCTAGGTGCATGCACATCAATATATCGTAGAATTGAATTTTCCTGAATTTTCTGGGGGTGGCCCAGCCAGCCAGCCGGCCAGGCGACGTTCCCGCGCTTCCCTAGGTCACTTGTATGTCTAATAATGCAATTTGAGCGGTTTTGGCTTTATATAACAGCAAACTCTTCGTCAGTGAGGTATAGGCTCTGGTAATAGGTCACGAAAGTGGCGGTGTCCGGCCGCGGGCTGGGGATAAATTATTGAAACCCACCCCTGATCACTAAATGATCCCTGCCTTCATTCACGTTCGGCGTTCCTCTGCCGATTTGCGACTCAGCTTCATCCACGATGGACATGGGAATCACGCATCCGCGACGCCACCCCGTTTTAGTCTCCTAAACTCACATTCAGTACACCACCGAGGCGTCATGTCCTATAACCCGAGTTGGATCTACTATGATTCGAAGCTGCGTGGCCAGAACCCTTTTACTTTGAATTGGCTATAGGTGTGTAATAAAGAAGGTATAAAGGAGTAGCCAGGAAGTCTGTTTACTTTCCCAAGAAGGCGATCGGTCAGACAAAGGGTGGTGCGCAACTCTAACTTACAACCAAATCTCTTGCTTTGGACGAAGCCAAGGAAGAGCCTTTTAGCCGTCAAAACCCGTATTCAATACATCTTCGAGGTACTATTTCATATAAATCTACCAGTGTCGTCGGAAGTAGAACCCCGCAAGCGGTTCTGAGTACGCCAGTTGAAGTATAGAATGAAATCGTCGATCACGTCCTCTACGACCCGAATGACTTCATCAGTGATCCTTTTTACCCTGGATACAACCTTCATACGACCTTTAATGAATGGAGCGATTGCAAGCACTTGCACAAAGTCGAGGCTCAGCGAGGTACGTACACTTCGTCTTGGGTCACTTCGTCTCACATTGGTGGAATATGAAGACCAGAGGCAGGAAGCCCTTCAGAAATGAGATATGTCAGTACTGGGTCATGTTGAATTAAGCAACCCATCCGGTGTACCTAGGTCTTCCTTTCCCATAAATCCACCAGTCTTGTCGGAAGTAGAGGCCCGTAAACGGTTCCGAGTACACCAGTTGAAGTGTGGCATGATGTTTGCTTTGGTATGGGATATTCTACGAACAAGGCGCCTTTTCAGATTACAACAGTGGCTGTCATATCAAGTACCGCGCGCCGCCTAGCTATTCATTCGTGCTGGGCCTGTTGGACCGCAACCCTATAGCACATTTGGCGATTACTATTACATTTACCCTACTCTTAGAGTGCGTCTCGTCGCTTTCAACGAGTCGTAAGCCCATAATGAGGTCCCGGGTAGTAGCTAGAACTGCGTTTGAGACACAACTGCTGGGATTAGATAGGTTTATTCATGTTCCAAATAAAGAGCAACCGCATTAATAAAATCTACGTGCTTTAACACACCCAATTGTTTGCATGTGTCAACGTCTCCCATCCGAGGAACAAATAGTTTGTCCCAGCCGGGCGTTGCGACTCGGTGAGGTTCTTGGTATATGGCAGGTTGTACCACATGCGCGTATGGAAGATATCATACCCGACCTCCGTCACAGGTCCAAGCCCTCTACCAATCGTACCATTGCACAACCAGTTCGGCGCAGGCACAGCACCACCATCATACGTCGAATGCAATTCAAGACTCAACCTGAGTCTCTTTCCAAGTTGGACGTCCGTTCCATTTGGACCCTGTCCACGAGCGGCGTTGTCGGGGTACAAATTGTTTCCCTGTATGCGCGCCGTCTCCGCCACATGCCCGATGGATGCGAGGCCATAACCGGTATGTGCAAAATCGCGACAGGTTTCTTGTGTTAGCCCATCTACGAAGGTGGTTTGGTACTGCCAGTACTTGATGATCTTCGCCGGAGTGGTGAGATTGTTTGTCGGTGTGCTGAGAGGGAGTTCACCGTCTGAGGTGAGGTAGATGTATGCGGGTACGCGGAGGAGGAACTTGGTCATTGCACGGTTATAGACGTCTTCGTCGTTGATGAACACTGCCATGCCTTGGACGGCTTCCATCATGACTACGAAGCGTTAGTGACGAATGTTACAGGTCGCCCAGAAGTACGTACCGAGTTCCCAGTTGCCGTTGCTCGTGGAGCCATTGATGAGAATGGGGATGTAGACGTTTCGGAACATGTTTTCAAACTGGGTGACGTCGGTTGCGTTCCAGCCTAGGTTTGTCAGTATCATAGCGTAAAAGAAGACACGAGACTAACCGTTATAGGTATATCTGATGATCTCGGCTGCACGGGTCCATGAAGCACCAGACCATCCAGACTGAAGAGGGGCGTTGCTGTTGTTATGCGACTGCAACGTATATGACCAAGCGTTGAAGTACGAGATGGCCTTGTCGGCATACGTATGATTGCGCGTGATGAACCACGCCAAAGACATAGCGTATGACGCGAGCGCGTCCTGGCGTTCAGCTTTGCATCCAATATCAGGATTCGAATTTGAACCGCATTCGACATTGACGAAAGGCGTAGCAGGCCTATCGAGTGCCGCCAATGAAGAATTCATCATGTCTTTGTAGGCACTCTTCCATGGGTCCAGGCCGAGGTTGACATTAAGACGAATGAACTCGAGTTGGGCACGGTCGAGGAAGACACCTGGGTGGTTGAAAGCTCCACTAACGAAGCTGGCCATGCCGGCCAAATGAACCAGGACGCCAAATGTGAGTATGAGAAATGAGTGTGAACGCATGAAAGCCTGTCGGATATGAAGGGGATGTTAGTGTTTTTTGCTGGGGTTAACTGGCGTCCGCCTTCTTAAGTCTTCTCGTTCTTTTTTTGTGTGGTTGCGGTTCGGGCGGACCTCATATATGAATCAATTCGAGAAGCCGCGGGTTTGGCGTTGCCGATGTGTGATTCCCATGTCCATCGTGGATGGCGCTGAGTTGCAAATCGGCAGAGGAACGCCGAATGTAAATGAAGGCAGGGATCCTTAGTCGCCATGGGCGGGGTTCAATGATTCATCCACAGCCCGCGGCCGGGCACCGCCACCTTTCTGACATATTACAAGAGATTGTACCTCAGTGACGAAGACGTGGGTATTATATAAAACCAAAACCCTCAAAACAAATCGTTAGACATATAGATTGAGCAGGAAAGCGCAGGAGCGTCGTGTGGCTGGCTGGCTGGCTGCTCCGACCCCAAAGAAATCAGAAAAAATCCTAGAAACTATTACATGTAACCAAAACCTCAAAATACGTGCTCGTGGTCTTGTGGTATAGTGGTATCGTAGTGAAATTTGACCAAAGGTCGAATCGGGCCTGTCAACGAATCGCCATGGTTTATTCGCGGCATTATACATAAAGTCTGTAACTATAAACTCTCGGCTTGGTGATATTATGCACAGGTTCTGCCGTTACCGTCCTCATACCGGACGCCATGACTCTTGCACGCTGCGTGTAGAATGTGCAGCAGATATCAAGGTATATTTGATCAGCGACATGGTTTCCCTCTTCCTCTTCGGGGTTTTCCAAATCGAAACTTGGTCTTTTGAGCGTCTAGCCAGATCAGCCCAGTCAATAAGGCATCACTAACTATATTAAGCGTTGCCCATTGCCCCAAGAGACTGTCCACCATGCCTCACATCTCCAAGGTACTCTCTGTAATCCCAGAGTGCCAGCCTCTTAAATGGATGATCAAGCGGAGGGCAGAGCTCCTCCACATCGGACACAAGTAGGTTCGTAGCAGAACACTCCAGTATTTGAGACATTTTACCAAAGGTTGTCCGGGAGTGCGATGACATCTTCTAATATGCATATGCAGAAACGCGTCAATTCTTTAGCAATGTGTGTAAAGAATGCGTTGGGAAAGGAAGACCTAGGTACACCGGATGGGTTGCTTAATTCAACATGACCCAGTACTGACATATCTCATTTCTGAAGGGCTTCCTGCCTCTGGTCTTCATATTCCACCAATGTGAGACGAAGTGACCCAAGACGAAGTGTACGTACCTCGCTGAGCCTCGACTTTGTGCAAGTGCTTGCAATCGCTCCATTCATTAAAGGTCGTATGAAGGTTGTATCCAGGGTAAAAAGGATCACTGATGAAGTCATTCGGGTCGTAGAGGACGTGATCGACGATTTCATTCTATACTTCAACTGGCGTACTCAGAACCGCTTGCGGGGTTCTACTTCCGACGACACTGGTAGATTTATATGAAATAGTACCTCGAAGATGTATTGAATACGGGTTTTGACGGCTAAAAGGCTCTTCCTTGGCTTCGTCCAAAGCAAGAGATTTGGTTGTAAGTTAGAGTTGCGCACCACCCTTTGTCTGACCGATCGCCTTCTTGGGAAAGTAAACAGACTTCCTGGCTACTCCTTTATACCTTCTTTATTACACACCTATAGCCAATTCAAAGTAAAAGGGTTCTGGCCACGCAGCTTCGAATCATAGTAGATCCAACTCGGGTTATAGGACATGACGCCTCGGTGGTGTACTGAATGTGAGTTTAGGAGACTAAAACGGGGTGGCGTCGCGGATGCGTGATTCCCATGTCCATCGTGGATGAAGCTGAGTCGCAAATCGGCAGAGGAACGCCGAACGTGAATGAAGGCAGGGATCATTTAGTGATCAGGGGTGGGTTTCAATAATTTATCCCCAGCCCGCGGCCGGACACCGCCACTTTCGTGACCTATTACCAGAGCCTATACCTCACTGACGAAGAGTTTGCTGTTATATAAAGCCAAAACCGCTCAAATTGCATTATTAGACATACAAGTGACCTAGGGAAGCGCGGGAACGTCGCCTGGCCGGCTGGCTGGCTGGGCCACCCCCAGAAAATTCAGGAAAATTCAATTCTACGATATATTGATGTGCATGCACCTAGAAAGTGGTCTTGGCCTTGTGATGTAGTGGTTATCATAGTGGATTTTGATTGCTCAATCTTCCATTTACCCCGGTTCGAATCCGGGCAAGACCTGTTTTTTGCCTTTCGGCGGTTTGAGAGCGGAAGTGAGACGGGGTAACTAAAAGTCTCTGGTTATATTTCATTTTTGGCGTTCTTGGCCCTTATTGCCTTCAAATTTTGCCAACCCAGCCAATCCCCGCCAACGCCGCCTACTCGGTGCCTATTAGACGGTCTCGGGATCTTTTTTTAGCAGTGGCTATGACCTATCATAGCTCGGCCTTACTACCACACAGCACGTACTTTTTAAATCAGCGTCTATGAATCAAAATCTGTGTAAATAGATTGTCGACCTCACCTATATATACTCTTTGATCCCACCACTATCTCTCTTTTTCATTCCCATCGTCTCACTCCTTTCTTTTTCTCTTTTATCATACACGTATCGTATTTGCCACTCACCAAGAAGCATGTTTACTTCTCCCAACTACAACGTAGCCATCTCCGGCACCTCGACTAGCAGTTTTAGCTACGCTAAAATATACACAAAAGTGAAGATTATGCGTGCGGGCACGCAAGTCGGCTCTGCACTTGGTCGTCTCGTAGGCGAACTCGAAAAGACGGTCAAACCGATGGAGACTATCCGTCTCCCTTCGTCTGCGACGTCTAAACGTACCATCCGCGTTAATATCCATCGAAATCAGGCGGGGATAGAGAGCTACAAGGCCGGAAAGCCTACAGCAGTGCATTTCAATTGGCATGGTAAGTTCAGTCACTGCTGCGCATGCGCCTATGCGCCCCCGACGAGAGCGGCACGTCCCGGCATCGTGACTGATACTTCCCACAGGTTCTGGCTGGGTCCTACGTGGTCTCGGACAAGAGGCTGCATTTATCCGGCAAACTCTCACGAACCCACTCCTCGCCGATTACCCTCTGACACTGCTCGATTGCGACTATGCCAAATCACCCGAGTGGCCCTGTCCGGCCGACACAGAAGACGCACGAGATGTGTACGACTGGGTCCTACGTAATCCAAACCTCTTCGACAGCGAGCGCATCACCCTCGGGGGCTTCAGTGCTGGTGCCACCATCGCGCTCGGGCTAAGCGTCGTGCTCGGTGAAGAAGCGCGACGCCAGGAGATCCCCATCGACGAAAAGGGCGCTCAGAGGTCATTTGTGCATCCTATCAAAGGCGTATACGCCATTTATCCCGTCGCGACGTGGCAGGGCTCTCGATCCCAAGTAACCGTCCCAGCCTCAGCTAAAAATAAGCCAGGTTTCCTCCTCCCACTCTGGTTCTCTAAGATCATCGCCACGGCCCACCTATTCTCGCCCGAGGTACCGTCAAGCCGTACTCCCGCAGAAGAACGCGCGCGTAAAGAAGAGCTTATCGCGCGCCCACTCGTCTCGCCTTCGAACACAAAGGACGTAAGGGACTTTTCGCCGTTGGTCGTGCTCATTACAGCCGAGTACGATCACCTTACACGTGACACCGAAGCACTCAGAGAACGCTTGGCGCGCGAGGGTCCACAAGGCGGCGTACATGTGTTTGGTACATCGGTAAAGGGTGTAGGGCATGGGTGGGATGAGGTCGCCAAAAAGGGACAAGTGGGCTATCAGGAGAGGACAGACATGTATGACCTCGGCGCGAAGATGATCGCGCGTGTGGGTGGGCGCGAGCTTAATATGGATGCGTGATTTATTATTTTTGGTTATTTCGTATTGTATGCCGCTACTGTTGGACTTAACGGACTATTAATAATGTATGTGGCGCGCCGCCTACTGGTGCCCACCTTGCTTCGGTCCACAAACTTTGTTCTACAATCATTTTGCTCCTCACGTCCGTTTGAGGCGTCAAATCTGTAACAGTCTACTCGAAAGGGATTTGGGAGCTTGATAAAACCCCATATCGTCTGTCACTCTCCGTAGCAAATCGGTAAGTGGCGATTTGTCACATCAAAAGCCAATAAGACTCAACTTCTCGCAGTTTTTATGTCTCTAATTGGTACCCACGCTTCAAAATATGATGTCCCAAAGATAGTCATGAATACTCCAGTCGAGGTATGGCGGGAAATCATCGACCACGCTCTCTTTGACCCGGTTCTATATCTCACGGACCCGTTTTACCCTGGATGCAACCTTCACACGGCATTGGATGACTTCTCGAACCATCAGTATCTTTTTAAGCTTGCATGTCAACAGGGACGGCTCCGACTCGTTTCGCATTCTTGGAAGAAGGCAGTTGATGCATCGCCGTTGAAGTACTTTGAACTCTATCGGGACAAGAGCAACCATCTAGACCATTCGTTGGCACAATCAAAGTCGGCAAATCGTTTAGAACTGTACGACCCTTCGGATAACCATATCCCGGTGAATGCACGCACCCAATGTGGAACGTGTTTGAAATATCGCATGAGTTCCCTCAACATTAACACCTTCATGACCTTATTTATGGACCTGAAGAATAAGCCACTAGCAGCCAGGATACCCAGGCTCCCAAATTGGTTCCAGTATAGGGAATATCTCGAAGCCAACGAAGGTCAAGGCATCAATCTTTTCCCCAATTTGAAAGCTTTATTTCTCAAGCTACAAGACTTGCCGATACCAGGCATGCTAGGTTTACTCAGCCGGCTTGAATTTCTGAGCATCTGTTTAACTTTCATAGATTTCGATGCCGCGGAAGAAGGGTCACAAGGCTTCCGCTTCCCTTTTCTCAAGATCCTTCAGGCCAAGATTTCGGACCAAGTTGGGATCAACTTCCTTGCGAAATGGGAAATGCCACTCCTCGCTCACCTGCACCTGATGAGCACTGAAGGCGAGGAAACAATGACCTCTCTCGGTCCTTTCATTGACGGCGTTGGAGCAAATCTCATCAGTTTACGCATCTCTTGTGTTGATGCGTATATACGTCTGTCAGATAATATGTGGGAGAAGATGCCCCGCTTAGAGTATCTTGGAGTAAGCAGAGTGGAAACCCTTATCCCGCCACCCCTTCGTCATCCCCTGCATACATTTGCAAACTTGGAAGCACTGTCTCTAACCACTGCGAGAGAGAGTATATATGCTGCAATTCAAAACTGGGGAGCGCTTTCCACGATCGCGGAACTGCATAGTTGGAAGAATGCTCCCGATGATTTCGAATACATCTGTGACAAAAACCCAGACCCATTTCATGCGCATACTATCAGTTTTTGCTAGTTGTGCGTCGCAGTTTCGTACATGTTGTGCAGACAACGGGGAATTCGATGCGAAGACTGCACCGGCAGAACATTTGAAGAGGTTTTGGCAGAGGTTTCGGTGCCCAAATAGAATGGTGTGATGCCTTTAGACGTCCACGCATGAAACACTGGGTCGTACGGAAGGAAAGGAACGTATGGGTGTTCACAAGATTGATACGAGATGGGGCGCACATTTGAGATGAATTCGGCAAGGAATGACAAGAGAGCCGTCAAGAATGACAGAGGCCTGGCGTCCAAATCTGCGCGAGGATGACCGCGCATATGGTGGAGCAAGGTCAATGTGGATGCTTGATTTGTTATTCTGGTTTAACCTGGGGTATATGTTTTCATTTTTGAGTTTAACAGCCTATTGACACATGTATTCCCCGACCTAACCGTAAGGTTAGAAGGGCTTTTGTCGAGGTCGAAACCCGACCCATTCCATTCAAGATGAACGGCGGCCGCGTTTTGATGCTTCTAATCATGTTCTCAATTCACTCGCACACATGTCCCTATGCTATTTGCTTCTTTACTTTTATCTTTATTCGCTCCGCCTCTCTAATCACTCACAGTTTTTCTTTGGTGTCGTCAGCGCCGCTATTTCCCACTAAGAAATCGAGGTTTTGACAATAGGACTCAATCGTGTTCACTGTCATGCACCGCACATTCGTGTAGCTGGCACCGACAAGCACACCTAGTTCGCCAGACAGCTAAGTGCTGGCATTTATTTCTTGCTTATGCGAATATAATCACACTTTATCTCCTGTTAGCGATATTCTTCCTCGATTAACACCGTCGTATCCTGATTTTCCGCGCGACCCTCTAAAATGACCTGTCCAAAGGGGGTTAAGTCCTCCTTTCGTGAAGTCTCGCATTCTCTATACCAAAAATTATGCTACAAACCAAACGTCACTCCAAGAACTTCGGGATTGTGGAAACCCTTCGTCTAGGCATTATTCTCAGCCTTTCTGAAAGGGAGGTCATAGACGTTATCGGGCTGTGAAAGGATGGTGAATGCAGCATAGTATGGTCTATCGTCTTCTCCAGCAAGATTTCCGGTGTTGCGCTCGCAGAGACGAGCTAGGCTGGTAGTGGCAGTGACCCACACTTCTTGCTACTGCAAGTCCTTTGGCCGTCTCGCTTCACTCGCCCACATCTTCCTTTCTCTCTTATATTCCTCCTGACAGCGGCAGCTGGGTCTTTCCTTCCAGCTCACCACGCCCATTACCTGGCCCATTCTCTGAAGATAGACCTCATAGCCACCTCGTCGTCTTGTGGACAGAGCGACCGAGATTGAATCCATGCACACAACCAACTTTAGCTCTACAATACTCGCCAATCCGATAGCGCCGTGAGTCAGCCATATAGCAGTGACAACTATGTGCGAAAAATACGAAACGTGAATACAGCACTGTCTATATGCAATGGGATAAGAACTATCAATAGATATCAACACCGAGGAGAAGGCGAGTTGCCAAGCAAGAAAGCAAGGTGCCGCTCTATTCAGGGCCCCACGACAAGACATCAGAAAGGCAAGTGCTTGAGTTACAAGCACCCTGTCTCAAAACTCTCCATATGTGATGAGCCAAAGATATACTAGCCCACGCCCACAAACAGAGCAGTTTGGACCTGTATCCAGGACACTCCCAGCAGGTCCGCGCTGCCGATGGACCGTAGCGTGTAGACAATGTCATCTAAACATACACATTGATAACATAAATCCCTTCTAAACGCATCAAAACGAAAACTGGTACGCAAGCACACAAATAGCCAAGAGGGCGAAAGCGAATTGCGATGAGTGGAGGGCACGTGGATTGTGAGTTGCTTTCAGCTTAGACACTGAGAAGGATCCAGTGT